TTTTGGTCTTTTTTCGGGACTGGCAACGGGATCGCAACCCTCGGTGTCGCGCCCGCGCCTCGCTCAGCCAGCGAGCGGGAACCGGTCTGTATGTGGGATCCGAACCCTCGGTGGGAGCGCCGCCGCGCTCCCAAGCGGCGCACTGTAGCAGCGCGCCACCGGGCCAGCCCTATTATTTCATTCCTTCTGCTAGCTTTGGGCTCAGCTAGTTCTTTTCTTCCTAGTCCTTAAGGTGTAAATTTAGGTTGTTGATTTTAGATTTTTCTTCTTTTTTAAGGTAAGCTCTTATTTGTACAGCTATAAACTTCTCTCTTAGTATTGTTTTTACTTTACCCCATATGTTTTGGTATGTGTAGTTTCCTTTTCATTTGTCTCAAGATATTTTCTAATTTCCCTTATGATTTCTTCGGTGTCCCATTAGTTGTTTAACAGTGTGTTGTTTAGTTTTCATGTATTTATGGACCTAATATTGCCATTTTGTTAATTGCTCTTTGACCATTTTTAGTTCCTTTGTTTATTTTTTTTCTCTCATTGTCTTTCTTTGTGATTTGATGATTATTTTGTTGTTGTGGTGGTATGCTTTCTTTATGTACCTACTACATTTAAAAAATTTGTGTTACCATAAGATTTATGTAAATCATCTTATAGTTATAACAGTCTATTCTAAGCTGGTAACAACTTAACTTTGATTGCATACAAAACTCTACACTTTTACTTACCCCACACTTTATGTTATTAATGTCCCAATTTTCACCTTTTTATATTGTGTATCCATTAATAAATTATTGTAGTTATAGTTATTTTTAAGACTTCTGTCTTTTAACTTTTCTACTAAAGTTGAAAATGATTTATGTACAACCATTACATTAATAGAGTAATCTGTGTTTGACTATTTAATTACTTTACTAGTGAGTTTTATACTTTCATGTGTCTTCATGCTGCTAATTAGTGTCCTTTCATTTCAGTTTGAAGAACTCTCCTTATTATTTCTTTTAAGTCAGGTCGAGTGGTGATGAACTCTCTCAATTACTGTTTGCCTGGGAAAGTCTTTATCTCTCTTTTATTTCTAAAGGAAAGCTTTGCAGGATATCTCTAGATACTTTGAGACTGTTTCTGCATTTCTGTTGAAATATTTTAGCATTAAGAAAAAGTGAAAGGGAAAATTTATATTTCCTATAGTTTTACTACTTTAGAGTAGTAAAGTGCACGTCAGGGAATTTTACTAATATACTGAATTTTTTCTTTCTGTGTTAGTTTTGGCACCCTGAAATTAATCGAGCCACAGTGCTTTTTTTCTAATTGGCACAAGTACTCGCTGTGATCATTTCCCCTGTACCAATTGTAGGCTGTCTTTGTAAGCACCAGGACTTGCTATTCTGTGTGGCAGGCAGTACTAGTTATTCATAAAGAGTCTTTTAGGATTGAACTTTTCTCCCACCCTCTGTTTCACTGTTCACTATGACCGTCAGCCCTGTTACTCTGAATTTGAGGTTGTGTTTGTACTTAGAGTTCAAGTTAATTGTGTTTCCAGCTGGAGACAGTCTGAAGGCAAGAAATGAAACTTCTGTGCCTAATGTTCTATGTTTCTTGTGCCAGCCAGATTTAAGCAATGATACTGACTTTTTCCTTTAGTTGGCTCAGCTACCTTCACAAGAAGCTGGCTTCTGCAATGCCTCTGCTTTACTTGGCCTTCTTTGGGTCATGTTTTAGGGGCAACATAATGAGTTTAGTTTTGGACATGTTGAATTGGAAGCAGGGCCATTCAATTTGTATTTGTAATGGGTTTGGAGGCCAAGAGAGCAATTTGGGCTGGAGATGTAGATTTGGTAAGCAAAGCTTCTCCTTATTATTTGAAAAAACTAATAATGTGTTCATTATAGTTATGATGATCCAATAATGGATCATCCAAGGAAAGCATGTAAAATGAAAATAAATGAGATTAGACACAGAACCCTGGGATTACAGCATGTATGGAGTAGGCAGAAAAAGAAAACCTAGTGAAGGTTACTATAAAGGAGATTTCTGAAGGATATGATGAGAGCTGGGGAAGAATGATTCTATGGAGCCAGTGAATACAGCATCTTTAAAACACTGTCCTTAATATTTTAGTGAGATCAACTAGAGTAAGGACAAATTTCAGCTCATTTGCTTGAGTGTCTAGGAGACCATGATGACCTTACTTATAGCACTTTCAGGGTGAGTGGAAGTTAGATTGTAGATGATTGAAAAGTATATGGCAGGTTAAGTCATGGATACAATAACTTTTTTTGACAATTTATTGTGAAGAGGTTGACTGGTATAGGACAGCTACAAGTGAATTAAAAAGGTGTGTTGTTTTATTTATGCACCCTGTACAATAAATAGATTAAAGTTTTAGCTTCTTTTTTATTAATATTTTCTATGAGAAGAATTACTTTTAATATTTAAGCATTGTTCAATTTTTAAGTATAGCTCTTTTTATGATTTTTTAATCTGTTTTTAAAGAAGACTAGGCCACTGCTTAGTATGATATATCAGGTTGCCTTTTTTCTCATACTGAGTTTTAAATGCTTATTTTATTTTAATTTTTTTCCTTATATCAGCTCAAGCATGTTGACTGATGAAATTATTCTCAAAATATTACTGTGCCTATTTTTCTTATTTGCTTTTAACTATTTGGACATCTGGGATACTTTTTCACGCATTCTACGTTATTTAGTAACTAGTCTATGGAATGTTATTCTATCAGTGTTACTACCAAAAAATACATTAGTTTTAATATTGTCTTTTTGAGCTAGTATTCTTCCTTTTGGGAATATTTAGTATGGCCCACAATTTGTGAAGGAAATCCTGATATGGTTTGTGGTTGAAAGTTAGTGGAAGCAGCTGTTCAGAAAATAGGTATTCATAATCATAGAGCTTTCACTGAAGTAGCTTGAATAAAAACATATAAGAGAGACTCCAGGTTAGAGTAGGAAATTTGGGATGATATTTTTATACGATATTTTATATTAGAGAAGAGACTTTTTGTTGAATTCCATTTAAACCAGTTTCCTACTTATCCTGTACTTACCACATCTTACTTGAATTAACATGGTATGTTTTTTTAATACAAGACTGATATATCTGTGGTTTCTGACAAGATTTCAAATTAATTGAAACTTTAAGATACACAAAGATTCTGTTATTTTATGTATTTTAAGACTTCATCTTGATCGGAACATGAATCCAACAAAATTTGCTAACCTTCTAAAAACGATCTTCTCTCAGAATATATGCTTTATTTTCTCTCTTCTACACTTAGGAAAAGGGGAAGAAAGGGGAAAAAGTTTAAATACTTTTTTTTTTATTATTAATTGTATGTATTGTTATAGCCCCACTTATAAATAGCAAATGTTTATAAGCAAGTATGTGACATTTATGTGATATTTTACTTATAATTTAATCTAAATGAAATAAAATATGAGAAATACAGATAGTTATTATTTATATATCTTTTTTCTTTGCTATTGAAACATCATTGTTAATATGAACTATCATCTTATTTCTGAAGGAAAAAAATGGTAAGCGTAGATTTGATACTCTGTATCCTCTGAATTGTCTTAAGTTTGATTATTTCCCTTTTTGTCTCTTGTTAGGGAACAGTATAGTGGGAAGCTCCAAGTGAGATCACATTCTATGAGTCCAACTTATGGAGAAGATGGACAAAATATTACCCCAAAGATATGTGTAAGATCAGATTTTACTTTTGTTTGTTGTTTTAAAATAACTTCACAAAGTTTTAGTTCCATATTGTCAAAGTTCCAATGATTGCTTAAAAACAGTGAATAAAATCTGAAGGTTCTGGTGAACACTTTGATGTCAAGGAAAGGGTTATGTTTGATATATTCCATAGTATTGCTTTTGCTTTTTTCAATGCTTCTGAGGTGTCATTTCTCCTGTGCATAGAAGAATAACTTTGAAAAGCTTCATTTTTTTGGTTATTTTTTCTTTTCCCTTTAACTCTGTATGATTATATACCAGTGATTAAAGAAGAATAAATTGGGATTAACTTGTAGTGAAGTAGAGAACAGTGCTTATTAGAACGTGAACTGCTTATATGCTGAAATATAAATACTTATTTTGCGTATATTTGTTTAACATAGATTTGAACAAGGTGCTAATGAGCATTCCAGGTAGCTTTGGAAAGAGAAAAACTATGCTTGCTCACTACAGTCTTTATTGCCTAACTCTGGCTGTCTTGGGTTATATCACTTTTAGTTACAAGATAGATGGTATGTAATGCATGACTCTTTTGGCACATATTGCTCTAAACATAACTCATTGCATTTTATTTAATGATAGTTCAGATCCAAAAAAGATTTAATATAAAGGGCAGCGCATTCTTAATAATGATTAATAACTATCAATCTCATTTACTCAAAATAAGGCAGGTACATTTTCTTATGTAAGAAGTTCTTGTTCACAAAGAAAAACATACAAAAAGTAGAATTGATAACAAATACTAATATAATAGATAAATAATGGAAGTTTAACATTTTGTTGAATAGAAATTTGGAGACTCAGTAAATTATGAAGAACATTTTATTGCATTTTTTTGGTCACTCCGTGTTTTAAGTGACCACAGGTAAATGGGTATATTTGTTAGTAACAGGGTTTTCTGAAAGCATGAAAATGCTGTACCAACAAATTTAGTTTCAAAAGAAATGTTTTTGGCTGTTTTACAGAGATTTACCTTTCTGTGTTTTTAGAGCTTTCAGATCATTGTCCAATTTGGGGCACAAATCTTAGGTTGTCTTTAGTTAGTTACAGTTTTAATCCGGTTTGATAAATGTGTGATATAATAAATTATACAGGAAGAAAAAGCATGAATTTTTTATTTTTTAAAAAGTAAAGAATCATCATAATTGTGTTTACATGATGTGAATTCAAAGCTTATTTCTTTTTATATTTAGTGTATGAGTGAGAATTAATTTAAGAAAAAGAGCCTCTTGGACATCAACACAAAACTTCGCTGTTAACTAATTTTAATGAGAGTAAATAATTTATCTTTTCAAGTGCTCACCACCCCCACCCTTTAAAGCTACTGTGGTATACCACAATTAAAACTTTTTGTAAGAAAACTTAAAAAGAAGAGTCTGGATTAATTTTTAACAAATTCTTTTGATTTTTTTTTTTTTTTTGAAATCTAGTTACTGTGTGAATATATTGTTAAGGCATCTTATAGCCCTAAGCAGCTATAATAGTCATTAATTAGAATTGAGAACTCTAGCTCAGTTGTAACACAGTGCTTTCCTCTGAGGCCAATATAGCACTACTGAAGAAGCACATAAACCCCTTATTACTCTGTGTGACATGTGTTTTGTCCTTTTTTCTTTCTTACTTTCCTCCCCCCTTCTGTTTCTTTCTTCCTCCTTTCCTTCTCTTCCTTTCTCCCACTTTCCTCCCTTATTTCTTCCCTCCTTCCTTCTTCCCTTTTTTCTTTTATATTTCAGGAAATACATTCGAAAACATCTCCTGTTTCTCTGGATGACAGTGACATTGAAGCTCGCCTCAATAGTTGGAATCTTGGGGTAAAAAAAAAAAAGTGTAAATTCTGCTATTATTAGATATAGTTTTCTTTAAGTATCAAGTCAAGACAGTTGATCATATTGTTTAATTCTTCTATGTATTTGCTAATTTTTATATCTAATTGTTCTATTGATTATTGAGAAAGGGGTGTCAGGATGTTCAACTATGATTGTGAAATTATGTTTCTTCCTTTAATTATTTCAATTTTTATTCTGGTTTCAGGTGCATACACATTTATTGTTTTACATCTTCCTCAACAATTGACACCTTTTTTTCCCCCGTTCTTTCCAAATGCACATGGTACATTTACTAGGATAGACCATATGTTGGGTTATAAAACAGGAATTAATAAATATAAAAGAGTTTACCACATTGGAATTAAGTCCCAAATCAATAAGAAAATTAGGAAAACCCCCAATATTTGCAAATTAAACAACACACATTTAAACGATCCATGAATCAAAAAAGAAACCACAACAGAAATAAAAATTATTTTGAACTGAATGTAATAAAATGCAACATATCAAAATTTATGAAATGCTACTAAAACAGTGCTTTGAGGGAAATTTATAGCTTTACATCCTGATACTGAAAAAAATAAAAATAAAGATGAAACCAATGATCTGAGCATCACCAAAAAATTTGTAAAATAAAAGCAAAATAAATCCACACAGTAAAATAATGGAAATAATAAGAAGAATAGAAATCAATGAAATAGAAAATAAAGTGTTTGTTTTATGTATGTATTGATGTGGTAGAATCATTGTATGTGGATAACATCTGAACTAATTTAATTCTATTAAATGAATATTGGATGTTAGATATTTAGTAGTGTGTTGGCCCTGAGAAGGACTTTAAGTATAAGAAAGAGAAATAACATTCCGAAGGATAAGATAGTCCCTGTCCTTGATAAGCTAACTTTCTTGTTGCTGAAATAAGATATACACATAAAATTGTTAAATAATAATTTAAGATCCTGGTGTACATGATACAATACCAAAATGAATTATACGGAAAGTAGAATACTGAGATGACAGGGAGGGAAAGGAGAACTTGGAGGAGCAAAGTCATTTGGGTTAAAAAAACTCAGGGAGTCTTCATGGATGAGCAGCCGTTTCCAACAGCTGTTTTCACTTTTCACGTACAAAGGCTGAGAGGCATGAAAGTGTTTAGGTAGGTGGAAAAGAGGGGAGGTAGGGATTCAAGGTAGAAATAGGCATGAGGAAAGATTGGTGATGTTAGTGAGCTGTCATGACTGGGTCTTTGGGATTTATGCATGAGTTAGTGGGCAGTGTTGTCAGGCTGAATTGTATTGGAGCTTCAAATGCTAAATTGAGAAGTTTAGCTTTGAAATTTTAGGCAGTAGTGAGCCCTGAAAACTTTATTCCCCTCCACATTTTGCTTTACTCATATGCTGTTTAAATGCTTTCAGGAAATAAAGAATTTTAAATAATTTTACCATACTTTTTATTGTAAAAATAACTTGTAATTTGAAAGACAGAAAATCAGAGGAATAATATATGTTCCAAAATCTTAACATTAAAAGATATGTTAACATTTTGTTATACCAGGATACTTCAAAAAGTTTGTGGAAAAATAGAATTAAAAGATAATATGAAATTTTCTGTGAACTTTATAAAGTACCCTCGTATATGTCTTCTTTTTTTCTGTGTAGTTTTACAAAATTAAACACAATTTAAATAAAATTGGGGTCATATTATAAATGCTACCTTATGTGCAATTTTAAATTTTATATAAATTTATGAGAATTCTATAAACATGACTATTAATGGTAGCATTCGTTTTCCTTTTGGATGGATGTTCCATAATTTATTTAAGTATTCTGCTATTTCTGAGCATCTACATTGCTCCCAGTTTGTTGATAATGTAAATAATGCTGTAATAATATTCCTTATATCTTTTAATGCATATTTAGTTGCTTTCTTAGGTTATATTACATCATTGGTACATTGCCTTACAGAAGGTTTGTACCAGTTTCAGCCAACAGTGTATCTATCAGTTGTCCATTTTCTTCAGCCAACAGTATATCAGTTATCCATTTCTCATTTATCGATTGACATTAGGGATTATTATTTTTAACAAACCCAAAAGCCTTCTTACTGATAATGGTCTTTAATGAAAGCAGTGCTTTATGAAAATTGACTCAATGGCATTATGAAGGTTACAATGGATGTGAGCAGAAATGGAAAAAGGGGACCAATTATCTTCTGGGTGTTTATAGTGTACTCCATGTTAATATGATTGCTGTGAAGATGGAAAGGACAGAAAGGAAAAACCTTTGAAGGAGACTAAAGAATGCTTAGTGACCGGACCAAAGGACTGAGAGGACTCTTAGGGATGAACTGAAGGGTTCCTACAAGTTTGGTTCTGAGAAATGGAAATGTTAGCTTTCTGTCGGTTGATTTACTGTCAGAGGTGGAAGCACATTTTAGAGGCTTAATAGTTTTATTTTAGACTGGTAGAGTTTGAAGAGATGGTAAGATTAATTGGGGAGTTCAGGGCGACGAGCTTCATGAGATTCAAGCACAGGAGGCATATTTTGGAGTCACACTGCTAGATGTGGTGGCTTCACCAGGTACTAGAACAGCTGCAGTCTTTAGAGAGCACCAAGAGTAAGGACGGTGGGTGGAAAGTAGGGAGAGTGAGGACGGGCAGCTCATGGCGTGGGCACAGGTAGAAGGTGAAATGCTGGTGGAGGGTAGAGAGTGAGGATGGGCGGCTCATGGCGTGGGCACAGGTAGAAGGTGAAATGCTGGTGAGGGGTAGAGAGTGAGGACGGGCAGCTCATGGTGTGGGCACAGGTAGAAGGTGGAAATGCTGGTGGAGGGTAGAGAGTGAGGATGGGCGGCTCATGGCGTGGGCACAGGTAGAAGGTGGAAATGCTGATGAGGGGTAGAGAGTGAGCATGGGCGGCTCATGGTGTGGGCACAGGTAGAAGGTGGAAATGCTGGTGGAGGGTAGAGAGTGAGGATGAGGATGGGCGGCTCATGGCGTGGGCACAGGTAGAAGGTGAAATGCTGGTGGAGGGGTAGAGAGTGAGGACTGGCAGCTCATGGCGTGGGCACAGGTAGAAGGTGAAATGCTGGTGGAGGGGTAGAGAGTGAGGACTGGCAG